AATTTCATCAGATTTTTTTCTTAATCAAAGTTATATCACTAGATTTAAAACTGTAAATAGTTAGAGATTTGAATACAGAGGTTTAAATAGGCCAATGTCTGTTTTAAGGAAAGTATAATGCATATAGCCTATAACAGACTCTTTATTGAGTATAAAAGCTCCTGTTTCCAAAAGGAAATGGTACAGGAACAACACCATTACAACACTACAAATATATTAGGCTGTTGTGTTGGAATTAAACCAGTAGCTTTAGGGCATGTTTGACCACAGATAACCCCACCGAATGGCTGAAGTAGGTGAGCTGCCATAACCCGACGTAACTCTATTCAGGGCTGTCGTTTACTAGCAATAACGCATTGTGTTACCTTCACAGCAAGGCAAACACCGGGTGACAGGGGTTAATCTGGACCATATCGAGACCACATCTGTGCAAATAAACCTACCAGACCTCTGCCAGACAGTGAATTATGAATTTGACACTTTCCTAAATTGTGTTAAAAACGCAAAGAGAGCCAGTGCAATATTGTAGTCGTAAAATAAGATGTGTACCAGTGGGAAAACTAGGTCCTAGTATGAAAACTAGTCGTAGGTAAATGCCATGCAAATTGTCTGTACAAAGAGTAGCATTTAGGATATGACACAATTTTCGAGCCGTCAAGGAATGATAGTGTGCAATCTAAGTATAAATATAAACCAATTATGTGGGCTTATTATGCCATAGCCGTCAAACTGTGAGGCATGGGGGTTGAGCTGAGATCTTTCCATATTCAAAAACCACTGAAGCATTTGACAAATCTGATGATCTGCTCAAGCAGAAATGGACATCACTCTGTTCATCATTCCCATACAAATTACATTAGTGGCTTATCTTACAGCCTTATAGATGTGTTAGAAAAATGCTTAAATAATCCTACTGTAGCAGTGTTTGGGTTTATTTTTCATTGTGTAAAAAAATACTTTGATTTGATTTGTTCCCCAGAGATGGAAGATACACATCAGTAGCTTGTTAAAATAAACTACAGTGCATCTGATGCTTTCAGTCTTGTCTGTGACATATGGTCAATCATTTTAAACCTTTGGGAGAGCACCACTTTTTATCCAGGAGTATTACAAGGATATAATCTAGTGGCATTTTCTGTCAGAAAACATGACACAGGAAGTGAGTTAGCATGGGTATCAGAGAGGTGTGTGCAGTCTGGGGCGAAGGAGCATGTTTCATCCTTGTGTTTTTGTCTTGTTTCATTACGGAGTGCTTTGCGGTTCAGCAGTGCGTGATGGCGCCTTCTGGGAGATAGGCAGTGTTTAGCTGGAGTTCTTCTATATGAGATAAATCCACTATCACTAGTGACAGGCTCGCTTGTGCTGCCTGGGCCCACGAGTTGCAGCTGCTGCAGCAGCGGTGGAGGAGGGGAACAGGAACAGGAACAGGGGGTGTATTTGTCATGGACATATCACAAAATGTAAACCTTGAAGAGACGTGGCACCAAATGGCTTCTCTCTCACACACATACACACACAGTAAGGCCACACCATGACTTTCACTTGCTGTTTTGAACTAATCAAAGTGAACTAACAGGAGATTGAGTGTGATGACACCAATCTAACGGCTAATCACTAGGAAATATATAGTAACATGACAGTTGCATTAAAAAAATTAACTTAAATTTCTGCATTAAATGTTCATATCAGTTCAAGGTGGTGGCTAAGTCACAATTTGCAGCAAGAAAAATTCATTGCTTTTTTAACCACTTTAAATTTCATTAATGGTTAAGAAAATTTGGATGAAAATCATAAAATGGATGGGAGTAAAGATGTGTTTCTAGTTTTTGTTTTCAAGAAATATAGACAAATAAAAAATAATTCTGTACTATGACTATAATCATAAATCTTTTAGATTAGTGTTTAGATTAGATTACATTTTGTCCACATCACAGATTTATATGAAGCTGTGATATTTTATGAAAAAACAAGTCAACTAACTTGAAGTCACAGTCGTTTTATCTCAAGGCTTAATGCTTTCTTGTATGAAGAATAACAGATAGATAGATAGATAGATAGTGAGGTAAATAAAAAGACAAACTCAAAGATTACTATTGTAATGTTGCAGTGAAAGTATTTACAGAACTTAGGCAGAGGTGAAAGTTAATACTCTGCGACTGTGGTAAAATAAAAATAACATCGACTGATAGCAGCTAGATTGAATGAAATCTTACTTACAGACTGAACGGGTCTCCAGTAGTTCATCTGGAGCATCCTGAATGATTGCGTCTGGTACACATTGTTCCTGTGCGTATATAGCCTATGTGAAGACTCCAAAGTACTTCTTATTCACTTAAAAACGCTAATTACACTAAAACGTTAATATTTCATAATACAGACTTCGTAGGCTACCCTGTTATTTCCACGAACAAAAGATCATCACTCATTGTTAAGAAAGTTCCAACTTAGACATTTTTGCTGGAACTCAAATGTCGAAGGGTCCTAAAGTTATTTCCAGATTCTCACGGCATTGAAGAAAGACTTTTATTAATATATCTCCATTTGCGCGTTTCTCCGGTGCAGCATGCTGGAAAACGTGTCCATTACTCGGCGGTCTCCAAGTTTGGGCTATCCTTGGATACACGTCACGTGGTCAAGTAAGAACCCCCCAGAATATTTCTGTTATTTATTTATTTAGATGAGTGCTGGAAATCATTAATCAGTTTTAATGTAGGCTAAACTTGTGATGTCCAGATTGATTTTTCGTTGTTTCGTGTATTTTTTGTCGTGTATGTTTGATGGGATGCTGTTGTGCACCGAATGGGATCACTAAAATAAATAGACTGTTTAAGTATTTTCGTTCCAGCGGTGCCACGAAGGAGAACCTCGAAACGTTCAGCATTAACGTTTTGTAACCACGTGGGGGCGGTGATGTACACTGTTACTGACAATAACGAACTACAATGACATAAAATATTGACATGAAATATTCACATTCCCAGCGCATCTGTTGTTGAATAGCCAAATTATACTGCAGTTGTAGCATATAGGCTATACAAACAGCAACTGCCAAGCTGGGTCTTATCAAACCACTGTACCTGAAGCTATGTTTGAGGTACTGTTCTTATCTTATTTAAACTGAGGTTATAGCTATTTGTCTGCAATTTTATTTATAGCTTAAAAATAGAACCACGTTTGTTTACATCAACAATATTTTGGTAATAGGAGAAACATGAGAAAAAATGATTGAGTTGTAAGACCATGTAAATGCTTAAACTCTGAGCTAGAATACATAATATATTTTCAGATGAACTGAAGTTTGCAAGATTAAAATGACCCTAATATGTTGATGACCCAGACATTACATCCATTCCAGACCTTATTTGTAATCCAAGAAGTAACATCAAACACGTGGATTAAATATTTCAGATCTTTATATATTTAATAGTTACACATTAATATTGAAACTGGGATTTCAATAGTTAAAGTTCAATTATTACATTTGAGTTAGTTTTCCTAATAGTTCCAATTTAGCCACATATGCATTGCAAATGAATTCAGAAATTTCATAAATATTGAGTTGTTTACATGAAATTTACTGTAGTAATTATAATTTGCTGTTTATTTTGTATAAAATAGCGCTATTATCATTGAAAATCACTAAAGCAGACCCAGGATGTCATTTGAGGTTGAGGTTTGTAAACTTTTTTTCATGTCCCATTTTAAACCATGCCAGGATAATCACAATAAAAGCGATATCTAAGACCTTTTATAGTCATGTCAGAAACAGATTTAAGAAGATGATAATGTTTTGCATAGGCTAAGTGGCAAATATGTCTGTCTGTCATTCAAGGTTTCTATTTTTTCCCCCACATAATCCACACTGCTGATGTATGACTGATGTACATGATCACAATATATAAGAAATTTCCAGGGTTAATATTACGATAAACTGGATTTTTTACCTACTTTTTTCCCCCTCTGATTGTAAAACCAAAAATAAATTTTAATTTTTTTTTTTTGCAATATTCATCAAAATTATCACTATTCTTTATAGTGTCATTATGTAGAAAAAGCAAGAACTTTGCAACAAATCTGGTAATCATAAGCATTATCAAGGCAACATTTTCACGGTCATATAAGGTCATCGATATGTCCAGATCTGCCAGAGTCCAGTGTTTTCTGTGGTGTACATGCAGAGACACTTCTAGCTTGTGTGTCCCTGTAGACTGGCCCTGAGCACTATACGATGATGAAGGATTATTGTAGGTTAATCTGCTTGCCTGCCATCTGCCTGCTCCAAACAAATTAAACCTGAAAGCAAAAACACACTCACAAATGTAGATGAAGGTAAATTGGCAGGTGTTTCCTTTTCTGATCCGCACAGCTGCTCATCTGAGCAAAAAGTAATACGATCTATTTTTATCTATTTGATTGAATTTTTTAATTTATAGCTCTGAATGCTATATTTATACATATAAATGTTTTCCTTCATTCTAATGTTTTCTACTAAATAATCCACATTAGCTGACTGTAAAAGATTTTTTTAACATTAAACTTCAACTCTGACCATAATTGAATGTTAAAAAGCTCTAATGATAAAGGTTGTGAAAGAGTGAGATGGAGGCATTTGCTAATGCTGATGAGTATGAGATTACATAACTTTGTTTTAAATGTGACCTGAACGTGCGCTCTGAAATATAAACTGGATTGTCAAAGAGATTAAGACGACTCATCCGCTAAAAGGCCTGTAAAAATTCTGTTGAATGCTTACAAACGTGCTATTTATTTATTCATTCATTCGTTCATTAATCCATTCACAAAAAGATCATTTAAGTTTTACTCTTAAAATTGGGTGATTCTTTTCATAATATGTCATCAGTATTCATTGGTGATTGTTCCTTTGTGACAGAGATCCAGCATTCCGAATGAGGGATTTCAGAAGTACTATAGCTAAGAAGACTCTCTAACCTGTCAGATCAGGTCAGGTGTGCTATTCATGAACCCCTCTAGTGGCCATTAGTTCCCATGCTGCGAAGATGGGCTTCTAAAAATGTGCTCAAGGGTTATAGTGTGTCATTGGATTAGGCTCTTAGCACCTGCCGTAGCTCTCCTCAGTCTGAAATAAACACCCTCAGAAGGACTCTGCCGTAGCTCTCTTCACTAGTGCGCTGTCTGGCCTGTTGTAACTGCTTTGCTTTGTTAGGATGAAGAATGATATGGAAATTCAGTTTTCATCAGTTCTTCTGCTAGCACATTTCTGCTTTGGTATGTATTTATCAGCATGTTTGAATACGGATGTGGCTCAGGCGATTAAACATTCCTTTACTTGATTGTTATACTGTTGACTAATGTGTATAATCTTGACCATTTTTATGTACTTCTTTGGTGTTTCTGTCTCATTTGCATCACCACATTTGCATTTCTGATTGACAGTAGGAGGTGAGCAAATAGAGACTTCGCTGAAAGAAAACTAAATCTAAATTTAGATATAAATTTATTTCATAAATGTATCTATATAGTGAAATACCTTTGATAAACCAGGGGATATTGAAGCATTTATGACGTAAGACACCTGTAATCCTAGACAAGTAGATAGAGACAGTCATTAGTATTATTACATTATGCCATGTGTGATCAACCTCATGTCAGAAAAAGGACAAATATTGTAATAGGTACAGTTGTTGTACAGCACATGATGTCTTGTCCTTATAAGTTTGGTTATGTTACATTGTTAATTGCGGAATGTTATTCGGATATCTCATTATTGTTGTTTACAGCACAGACTGATTACGCACCATATTTCTATGATAATGGGCCTAACAGTAACAACGGTAATATGGCACTGTTAAATCTCTCAGAGGATACGCCAAAAGGTAAGGCAACATTTTTGTACCATCTGATTATATTGATTTCACTCTGGCTAGGTGTAAACAGTATTAACATGTCTGTTTTCCAAAGACCATGTGTCTTGAGCTTGGTGCAGGGTGGTGATTTTGCCCCTTGGTCTTTGTTGTTGATTGTGGTATATTGCTGAAAAATTTAATTATTACATTTTTATATCTTATTTTAGATGATTTGAAGTCATCTTGAGGCCCCTAATTGAGAACCACTGCTGTAGAGGTCATTTTGACTGGTGTGAATTATAAAAGCACAGAAATAACTACTTACAAATGTAAATGACAGGAACACAGATATATGTTCTTAATGGAACCGTCCCAGAAGGCCAGCCAGTAAAGTATGGAATGACCTTTGAACCCGGATCCAAAGAATATTTTCGTGTTCATCCCAAATCTGGAGCAGTAACTCTAATAGATGAACTTGACAGAGAGGTACATTTCAAAAAGTGTCACGTTTTAAATGAGAAACGTTTAATTCTGAGAATACTACAGTGACACTACATCTTTTTATTTTCACAGGCACAAGATGAGATTGAAGTCTTTGTCAGTATCTCAGATGGCCTTAATAAAGTAAGTATTGTTACTTACTTTATTAAGTCTTACCCAGTGTATGTGATGATCATTCGTGATCTTTCTGATGCTCTTGTGTCATGTCAGGTAGCTGAAAAGGTTTCAGTTTTTGTCATGGATGCCAATGATGAGAGACCACAGTTTCAGAACATGCCTTCCATTGTAGATGTGGCTGAGGTGAGGAATTATGTCTCTTGTTTTCTTAATTATTCTTCACTAGATCATTCAGGTTCCTATATAATATGTTTTGAAAAAAACCAGGCCATCAAAATGGTTTTGATTTGAAAGTGATCTGTATAAACAGGCTTGTTTGAAAACTGTATATGTGTGTGTGCGCACATAACACTACATCTGGGAATAACATCTACAAAGTGCAGGCAGTGGACAGAGACACCGGCTCAAGGGGATCAGTCACTTACTTCCTCCAGGTAACTTCTGGCATCCAGCTGAGAAATCAAATCTGAACTAAAGGTCATATGAAAGCAGTGTATATCTTTTTTCTTTTGCCTCCCTTATACAGAGTGACATTAGAATCTCTATGTTTCTTCTTAAATCCAGAGCAGTGAACCGAGCACAAAGTTTGCCATTGACCATCATAGTGGTGTGTTGCGGATAAAACCAGGTGAAACCCTCGATTATGAGAAATCCCGCACACATTTCATCACTGTGGTGGCAAAGGTGAGAGGGAGTGATTTTGTTTTACTTTTCATACCATTTCAAGCTTACAATATATCTTCCATTCCCAGCCTGTATCTGCTGTACCAATCATCATTTTAATCCTTTGGCTAATAGTATTTCTTGTATCATAATGAAATATGAAATAACACTAGGATGGAGGCGGCATTTACAAGGGCAAGCACCAAGTGATGTCATCGTCTGCCACTTTGACCATAAATGTGATTGACACTCAAGACACTCCTCCTGTGTTTGTTGGGACTCCTTACTTTGGTTATGTCTATGAGGTCTCCTCACCTGTGAGTATCCATCATAACACTACATCATGTTTCCGTGATTAAAAGTAATTCAAGTCAGCCTTTTACTCAGAATTCTCTTATGCTCACCAAGGCTGCATTTGTTTGATCAGTTTACAGTAAAAATGGAATATTGTGAAGTATTATTACAATTTAAAATTGAAAACTTGAAAATCTTTTGTAACATTGTTTTTAATTCATTTTTGATCAATCTAATTCTAATTCTTGCTGAATAACAGTATTAATTTCTTTAAAAAAAAAAAAAGGTACATAGTAGAGGTTGCCATGTTACAGTTTGAACCTGCTAAAATATTTGTGGAGCAGCACAGATGTCTCATTCTATCTGAGCAGTTTCCAGCTTAAATCAGCTGGAAAAGACTATACTGAGCTACTGCACACATGCTCTCAAGACATAATAGTTTTCTAGAATCCATTCAGATATCTTCCCCTTATATAGCTATCTATCAACGTTAACTTTTGAGCTAATACAAAGCTTTGTCATATTCAGTTTTTACCAAAAAATCAAACGGTGCCAACTTTACTGCTAATTGTCTAATATCTAATTTTGTCTATAGGGATCTGAGATATTTACAGTTTTTGCCAAAGATGGAGACATGGATAATCCAAATCCAATAATGTATTCAATAAATTCTGGTATGTATTTTTGGTTAATATGAAAAAGCATTTGTTTTGCACATTTGATGGCTGGAAAGGAATTTCATTATGATGTTTCAGTTCCACACCAGTGGTCGAAACGTCAACAAATTCTCAATCTATTTATTCAGGAGTAGATGGTGTTTTTGCCATCAATAAAACCAGTGGATGCATCATTCTGAAGGTGTACCCAGCAGACCTGAGGAGAGAAGTCTATAATATTAAAGTCAAGGTAAAATCTCCAGCTTCTGTTTTTTCTTGCATCAGATGTTTGATTACTAGACATTGCTGGCCCCCTGATCTCTGACTTGAGACAGAGCGTAAGCCAGTTTCAGGAATAAGCCAATTACTAAAATCTATCTCTGTCCATGGTATTTAGCTACTCTTGCTATCTCTAAAACGTGCATCCTCATTACAAGAGTATGTCAAGCTAATCAATGTAATGTGGCTTTTTGCAACTGTCGGCTGGTATTAATGTGTTTAGTTGTATTAATAATCAACAATATCTTCCTTTCTCAGGCTTCAGAGGTTAGTCCAGAAGGAAAACGCTTGGACTTTGCAGTCACCACAGTGACCATTCGGGTAGTGGATCTGAACAACCATCCACCCACATTCTTTGGAGAGAATGGACCACAAAATGTGTTTGAGTTAACTATGTATGAGCATCCTCCAGAGGGAGAGTTCCTGAGTGGCTTGAAAATAACAGTCAATGACTCCGACCAGGTGTGTATTTCTTTTTTTTCAGCAGGAGGTTACAGGCTTGTTATAGCTAAAATTAGTGCATGCATATTTATATACATTAGAAAGAAAATCTGGCTATCTGTCCCTCGTTTTAAGATAATTTTATAAAAGCTGATTAAGTTGCAGTAATTTTGTAGTACAGATCAACCATTATTTAAAAATCAACAAGGCGCCATTAGTTTAATGTATTACTTCCATGTTTTCTATGAGCAGGGTTCAGTTCTAATGCAACATTGTCATTTATGTTACATAAATGACAGGATGGCACCCAAAAAAGCAGTTGATCCCTTTTAAGCTTTTGTCATATTATGCAATATTGTTAGTTATTCAGCATTTAGTCACATTGAGATGCAGAATTTATTGGGTGAGCACAACTGCCAAAATGATTGTTATCCTGATGTTTGCCATCCATTTAAAATAGCTTTGACCTATGCCAGTTAGAGTTGACTTATGCTTAATTCAATAGTTCAAAAGTTTTGTGTTACCAAACGTGTTTATACTGTACATTTTCAGGGATCAAATGCAAAATTTCACCTCAGACTGGTGGGCCCAGGCCGCATGTTACGAGTGGTTCCTCAAACCGTCCTGAATGAAGCCCAAGTCACTGTCCTGGTAGAGGATTCTGCTGCAATGGATTTTGAGAAATCACAATTCCTGACATTTAAGGTAAATAGAATTTTATGGGAATCATTTAAGAGAGGACATTTATGTACTTTATATGCAGGATGTGCTCAATCCTGAATATAATGAACCAAAAAATGTGTTGCATATGCTATATGATACAGACATGCATGTTTGATTTTATGCTTTAAATGACTTTAAAGTGCAATAAAAAGCAGAATTTCTTCTTCTTAATCTTCTTATCTTTTTTCTTTTTTATATGAACATGAAAATCGGCTTTTAAAAATAAAAATTACTTTTGCATTAAATGATAACCAAAATTAAGTCTTTCAAATAATTTCCTTAATTGTATCAGGTATAGGGACACAAATGAGACACAAATGGCCTGAGAATGACCCTACACAATTATACATGTAGAAGTATTACTGATAAATGAGTCCTCTATACATAGATTTCAATGATCGTAATATGTTACCAGTTGCAGAAATGTTATGCTCATTGTTTCCAGCTCCTTGCTGTAGAGATTGACACCCCTGAGAGATTCAGTGCCACGGCAGACATAATCATTCATCTGCTAGACACCAATGATAATGCTCCCAAATTCTCCTCTGATTTTTACATCGCTCGGATTCCAGAAAATTCACCCGGAGGATCCAGTGTTGTGTCTGTGACAGTGAGTACAGAACACTCTAGACATTATAAGCACAAAAAGATTAACATGTTTGTCATCCTCTCCAGACTGTTTTCTGTTACAGAAAAAAGACGCATTATACGCATTATTAATCTAAATATAACATTTGAAGGGGTTGGATCAGAATCCAAAATCATGCTTAGCATGTGAATGCTTGCTAAACAGTCTATGACGTAGTAAGCTGCCAGATGGCTATCATTTTCATTCAGTTGTGTATTGCTAAAACCCCAGATTTAAGCTTTAATAGACAAAAATATCATCATGATGTGGTCATTATAGCATTCATGTGGCAATAACATCACATCACTTTTTTGAGTCAAATTAAAAAAAATACAGTATGATACTGAACATGCTAAAAAAATTTATTTTAATTTTATATGAACAAACACATTTTAGTAAATGTATTTTTTATTGCTTATCTAAAAAAAATAGAAGGCCATAATGGATAAAATGCACTACTGTCCAAAAGATTTATTCAGAAAGCTGCATTACATTTATTAAAAGTGACAGTAATAACAATGTTACAAATATATATATATATATATATATTAGTGCTGTCAAATGATTAATCGCAATTAATCGCATCCAAAATAAAAGTTTTTGTTTACGTAATAGTTGTGTGTGTACTGTGTATATTTATTATGTATATATAAATACACACTCATACAGTATATATTTTGAAAATATTTACATGTATTTACATGTATATATTTATATTTATTTAATTTATATTATATATACATATATTTAATATACAAATATAATATATTTTTCTTAAATATATATGTGCATGTGTGTGTATTTAGATATACATAATAAATATACACAGTACACACAAATATTACGTAAACAAAAACTTTTATTTTGGATGTATATATATATATATATCAAATAAATGCTGTTCTTTAATTCTTTAATCTATTCATCAAAAAATATATATCATGGTTTTCACCAGCAGCACAACTGTTTTCTACTATTAGAATATTAGAATGATTTCTGAAGGATCATGTAACACTGAAGACTGGAGTAATGGCTGCTGAAAATTCAGCTTTGCCATCACAGGAATAAATCACATTTTAAAATATTTAAATAGAAAACAGTTGTAATTGTGATCATATTTGACAATATTACTGTTTTTACTATATTTTTGATCAAATAAATGCAGCCTTGGTGAGAATAAGATACTTAGGGGGAAAATCCTGAATTTTTTTTTTTCTGAAATACATTTCCTGAAAGTTATTCTCCACATCTAACCACTATGGAGGTATGATGCTAAACTTATCTAAAGTCATATCAGGGTCTAAACATGTCGCACTCCACCTTTCATCAGTAGATAGAGAGATTGAACCCTATTGAGATAAACCCTCACCCTGTGTAAGTAGGCACTTGCCACATGGGAGTTAGCCTCTTTCCGGGCTACAATCTATTAAAGGGGTGGTTGACTGGGTTTTTTATAGGCTTGATTGTGTTTATGGGGTGCAGTCTAACATGTGTTAATGCTTCGTTTGTTAAAAAACGCATTATTTTTCATATAATTTACCTTTATTCCACACTGCTCTGTCCCTTCTCCTCTGAACGCACTGATCATTTCCTGCTTTTATGAAGCCCCTCCCTCAGAAATACACGATGGGCTCTGACTGATTAGCTGGCCCAGTGTGTTGTGATTGGCTAAACCGCCTCTAGCGTGCATCTAAATGTCCCGCCCCTCAACATAGCGGCATGTGCTCCGGTTGTATTGTAAACAATGACGTCGTCTATATTGATCAATTTGAGCCCGATTGAGACGCAGAGGATATTAGTGAAGAGGATCGCGCAGAACCTGTGCAAGCACGGCTTTTAATGGTAGGCCTAAGATTTTTGTTTGTTGT